GTTCCAGTTGCCACTGTTGTAATCTCTCTTCTTGTTTCTTTTCTCGTTTTTCTTGTTTCTTTTCTTTTTTTTTCCAACAACTGCTGTGATCTTTCTTCTTGTTTATTTTGCTGTTCGAGCTGCCACTGTTGCAGGTTTTGGGCAACTGCTGTTGTCTCTCTTCTTGTTTCTTCTCTTTTTCCCCCAACAACTGCTGTAATCCCTCTTCTTGTTTCTTTTCTCATTCTTGTTGTTTCTTTTCTCGTTCTTGTTTCTTTTCTCGTTCTTCTTGTTTCTTTTTCTTGTTTATTTTCCCATTCTTCTTGTTTATTTTGCTGTTCTTGTCTTGCTGCCATCAAATCTGCTAAGCTGTAGTTTGATTTGCCGCTTCTCGTTTCCATTTTTTTTTCCGTCCCACTCTCTGACACCAATTTGTTCTGTCTCCGTTCGTTAATTAATTTTCCGTAAAGTCGTTCCGACGAAACTTTAGCGACACAAGTCCTTTCTTAAATAAAACTGGTTTATTCTTTCTGAATATAACTTTGCGATACATTTAATTTCAACTGTCGTGCTATAACAAACGCTATAATTCTCAACAAACGTCTCACGTGCTCGACTTCAACAATACTCAGTTCAATTACACACTCTCTGACTGCAGTTCAATTACTCATTGTCCCGTCACATTGTGACCGTCTTATATATACCAGACTACCCCAATCTAGTAGTCTCTCGACAATTCACGAAGGTTCGAAAAGAACGTGGCGTGATACTAGTCACGTGACCTCGCTAACGCAACAATATTTAATGATGGCCTAGTCAACTAGTATTATTGAGCTAATTACCATTTAGTTTGAATTTTTGCTCACTGGGTATTTTTTAAAGAGGTCTAAGTCAAGCACTTCAATTAATATTACTAAGACTTCTCAAATAGAGTGTAAGGTTTAAGAGTTCTTGTAGCCAATGATCAATAAGGATGAATCAGTAAATTCAGTGAATCAGAATTATTAAAGTTATTCATCAATTATCATTACTAAAAATATCAGTCATTTAGCATCGTTAGTGATTATCAGGTAAAACAGATCATCTGTAAATTGTCAGCTAAAGTAGTAATGAAAAGTCGTTATTATTAATCAGCATGGACCAGCATGAAGTTTTAAATAAAAGGTGGAAAGGAGATGAAAATATTACAACTGTTAGATCCAGAAAAAAATCTAATTAAGACATTCCAAAATAAAATACTAACTTGGTGTTTAGTGATTTAGCCATTAGCTGTATACCAAAGTATGACATTTTAAAACATAGCTTGCCTTATATGCTATTTTATTGGTGAACATATGGTCATTTTCTTGAAAGAATAGTGTGACTGGGTTTTATTAACTTTTTTCTCCCTGCAGCATTATATAATCATAATTATTATTTATTTATTCTTTTATGATTATCATTTCCTCTATTTACATTACACTATTTCTCTTTGTTTTCATTAACCTTTAGGTAAAACTTGAAGATTTTAAATTTACTTATGACCTCTGATTTATTTGTTAAAAATTTATATTTTAGACAAAGTTTTGACATGTGAAATATGTTTTCAGACCTCTGGAAGAGTTTAAAGCCTACTGGTCTTCAAGCAAAGCTTTAAGTTTTTAAATATGCCTTTGGACATCTTGCTTATTGCAATTTTTAATTTTTTTTTAATAAAAAAAACATTAGAAAATGTGCATCAATACTTTGTTTAGTATTTTCAGTTTTCAGGAAACAGTGTGCAAATATAAATAAATTTCATAAAATATTAAAGGGACAAAAAGGAGCTTATTAGCCCATCTAGGATGTCCCTTCTACCTCCCAACTATAATCACCCATTACTACTCGTGAATTCATCCAATCTTTTCTTGAACTCAGTTAAATTTTCTGCCTCCATCACCCTTGAAGGCAGCTCATTCCAAAAGCTAACCACCCTGTTTGAAAAGTAATATTGTCTAAACTGCAGACGACTCCTCGGGCAGTATCTAATTTGCAAAACTTTATGCTGACCCTCACATGCCTTCTATGTTATCTAGTGGTGGTCAGCAGTCGGGGGAGGCAGGAGGAGCCACTCTCCATGGAAGCTGCCTCTGACCTGATTTGGGAATCCTTCATGTGGCCTGGAGGTATATCTCCAGTATGTACTGATTTGAATTTTCATTCTCAAATGGGATATTCTGGGGAGAATTTGGACTCCCTGTTTCCTGCTCCTTCTTTCACTAGAGTTTCCTCTCCTGAGGAATAATTTAATCAGCCACCTTCTGCCCCTTTTCTGCAGTTAGTTAAATGTGTTTGGGAAGTTTTGGAGATGCAACCAGTTACTTTTGAGTCTACTCCTACTTTGTTGTCCGATCATTCTCAAGGGTATTACTTAGTTTGTCCTCCTTCTCCTAATATTGCTGTGCATACAGGGAGGTTTGCAACACAATTACATGAGGGTGTCGCTATGCCTTTCCCCCTCCTCGTATATCTGAACAACATGGCCTGGTATATCATCGTCAGGATGTTATATATTTGTACACTAATAGGTCGGATCCACTGTTGGATCTATGTGGTGCCAGGTACAAATCTGTTATCTCTCGTAACAGGTTGCAATTTTCGCAGATTTGTTTGACTCTTGCTACTGTTTTAAGATATTTTGTGGGCCGGTATGTGGACTTCTCCCGAGACGTTCATATTTCATTACCTTCATGATCTGGCAGTTTCCTCTTCGATGGGATTTTGTCTTCCCCCCTGTGGCTGTGTTGACTTCCTCTACTAGATTTTAACAGGGAGGTGAGTAACAGGTTACCTGACTTACAGTTATTATTCTTTTCTCTTCTAGGGTCCTTAATGATTTTTTTGAATTCCACTCAGTGGTGAGTGTTGCTTTAAATTCTGCACTAGCAACCTTTATATTGGTTCCTGGTTGCAATGGGCTCTGTCCAGATGAGGTGTTCCATAAGATCATTTGGATGCAATTCTTGATGGTGATATCATATTACAATATTTTTGATGGACCTCTACTCGTGGATTGTCATGAGTAAAACTGAAGGGGATTTTGCCAGTCCCTGCTGATCTTAGAGCTGATTCACTTAAGATCAGTTTACTTATAAATATTAGGGAACATGGTTCACCTGTTGCACTGTCTCTGGAAACCTGTTCCTCAGGACTCCCCAACGTTTATGTTCCCCCCTTACTTCTACTAGTGGAGCTTGGGAGTCTTAACTACACCCAGACATATCTACGTAGGTCCCTGGAAGTTTCTCCCAGATGTTGGTAGGAGCAGGATCAACCTATGCATGAGACTACTCGTAAAACCAGTCCAGATTTGATGCTTAGCTATCCCGTTTGGGGAGCTTGGACCCTCTTATTAACACTGTCAGGTCTTATGTTGTTCATGCAGGGGGTCTACTATCTCTTCGTAAATCCAAACGCGATGCGGTCCCATCTTTGGTCCTTGGTGTAACAGTGTTCCACATCCTCTCCATAATTCCATGGGTAAGCAGAATTCTTCTTGTCCACTTGGTGGGAGAGTAAAGACAACTGTTTGTAAATCCAGACTGGATGAGTTCTGGACTTTGGTGGAGTATGGCATATGATCCCATCAATCCATACCTGAGATGTTGCCTTTTGGACTTCTTCAGGTTGATCGGAAAGATTGTCCACTTTGGTGTTGCTTTTTTTCTTTCTTTCATAAATCCGGTGGTTTGAAATGCATCATTCTGTGGTTACTGGTAGGGATCCTATCACAAAGATATATATATCTGTGGTCCAACTGCCCTGGCCACCAATGTGGGATATGGGTACCATGACCCATTAAATCCAACCAGAGTTGTTTGAACTTTGGCTGTTTGGTCGGGGCTGGACCATCATACTTGTATTATATTCCACTTTTTTCAATTTTCTGTAGTTTTGGGTGAAGAGCATACCTCTTCTGGATGTAGTGCGGTGTTACTCACTTTGATACCACTTCTTCTGGTACATATTTGTTTTCTTCAGATGCTTTCTGTATGATCTCTGTCCTCACCAGCCCCTCTGCCTTCTCAATGTGGGATTCTAGTTATTAGTGTCAGTGGGAGTATGTATGTTTTGGAAGTTATCATTTTCCTAAACTGAAAATGTATTTCCACACATATTTACCTTCACTGACTCTCCCTCCCTACTAAGAGCCAGTGTTAGTGACTGGAATGAGGTAAGTCTCAAAAAAGTGATTTTATTGTCTGCGTACAGTGCTTATATACAGTATCTGCATAGAGGGCATGTGAGGGCCAGCATAAAGTTTTGCAAATTAGATATTGCCGAGGGCAGTCGAGTGGAGTATATAAAAACTGGAGGAAGTGAACACAATGTTAGATGGCAAAGATGAAGATCGAGAGATAGCTATTAGTGTCAGTGGAGGTAAGTATGTTTGGAAATACATTTTCAATTTAGGAAAATGATAACTTTTCTTCAACCATAGTATTTAATGTATTCCCATTTAAATTGTAACAATAATTTGAATTGCAAAACCCTACATGCATCGCCTCACATTTTGGATAGTTAAACATCATCTGCCACGTATTGGCCCAATGCATCAAATGATCTAAATCTCCCTGTAAGTCTGCAGCAACTTTGATACAGTTTGCCACCCAAAAAACTTAAATGTCATCTGCAAACTTCAAAATTTTGTTAATCATTCCAGAATCAATATCATTAATATAAATCACAAACAGCAGAGGACCCAGCACAGAGCTTTAAGGCACACTGCTTATAATTTTGATCCAGTCAGATCTACCCCCATTTATTACTACTCTTCGCTTTCTACTCTCCAGCTAATTTTCTATCCAATTTAATAACATTTCCCCCCCACCCACGGATTTAATTTTTGTAACAAGTCTTTTGTGAGGCACCTTATCAAATGCTTTCTGAAAATTAGGGTAAACCAAATCCACAGTATTTCCTTCATCAACTCTTGCAGTAACATCCTCAAAGAATGTTAGAAGATTTGTTAAACAAGACTTTCACTTAGTGAAACTATGCTAGCTCTTTGACACTATATCAAACTGCTTTAAGTGACACTGCAATGTATTTTTAATCACACTCTCCAAAACTTTTCCAACTACTGATGTAAGACTAACTGGTCTATAATTGCCTGGACAATGTTTATCACCTCTTTTAAATATTGGACTAACATTAGTCAACTTCCAATCTTCTAATACTCTTCCACTACTCAATGACCTATAGAAAAAAAGATATTGTTACATATCTGCTTGTTTGTTAATTTCCGGTAGAAATTCTTTCTGAGGAACTTCAGTGATACAAGTCCTTTATTGATCAAACCAGTTTATTCTTTCTCGATACAAACTTTTAGTACACAGTAATTCCACAGTCAGTACATTTCTCATCACTTTAAACTTAACAACTTTTATAATACGTGCTATAAATCACAGCGATTCACAATCTTGATAATTTTGCTCTAGACGAGTACAAAACACACACTTTATTATTTTCTGTTGTCTTTCTCTGCCAGGCTTATATACTAACGAAGGGGGCGTCTCGAATACACTTGGGCCTCCCCAATCATTCATGATCGAGAAAATCATCACGTGTCACCAGTATCACGTGACTTTCGCTGTCATAACAATATATTAGCTGGAAGTTCAAAGATAAAATATTTAAGTTCCTTTAAAACTCTAGGATAAAAGTTGTCTGCTCCAGGGGATTCATCAATTTTGAGGTTTCCCAGCTTTTCTCTTACAATTTCAGAACCTAAAATGAGATCTTTTATATCAATATTTTTCCCACACATTATATACTCTTGTTGAGGCATAATACTTGTATCTTCCTTCATAAAAATTGAAGAGAACATATAATTTAATAAGTTTGCCATTTCATGATCTTCAGAGGTCATTTCCCCATTGTCATTTGTAAGAGGCCCAATCCCCATCCTATCATTTTGCTTACCCATCATGTAGCTAAAACATTCCTTATTGTTTGATTTAACTCTCTCAGTTAACCCTATTTCATATACAGTTTTTGCCCTTTTAACTTCCTTTTTAACTAGCTCTCTTGACTTCCTACAGTTCTGCAAGTCCTTATTATTTCCAGTAAGTTTAAGTTTCTTGAATTTATTATGTTTATCCCTAATATGATCTCTTAACCCTTTACTAAACCATGCTGGTTTATTCCATTCTGTTGACCTTTTTTTTTCTGTAAGAAATATGTATGTTCTGTATGCGTATCAATTTTTCCCTAAATGCTTCCCACATCTGTTCAAGATCCCTCCCAACTATATAGTCCAATCTACATGAACCAGATCATGTCTCATTCTGTCAGCATTGGCTTTTCTAAAATTCTGAATCCAGGTACTATTCTTGTTCAATTCTATATGTAGTAAAATCCCACATCTAATAGTGTAATGGTCGCTTGTACTTAAATGCTCACCAACCACAACTCTATCTATCATCTTCACATCGGATGCTAATATTAAATCTAATATAGCTTCCTCCCTTGGAGGTTCAGTCACCAGTTGGTGTATAAAAGTATCTTGAACAATTTCCAAAAACCTATCCCCCTCACTGTCAGATTCAAAATTTTCCCAATCAATACCCCTGAAATTAAAATCTCCCATAATAACATCTTTTTCAGCTACCATTCTGATCTCATTATACAGTTTCCATTTAACTGGTGGTCTATAACAAATCCCAATTACAAGACTTTTCCCTTTATGTTCACTAACACTAACCCAAACTGACTCAATTTCAGTGCTATTTTCTTTAATATGCTCTAACTCAACAAGATACAATTCACTCCTCACATGTATAGCTACTCCTCCCCCTTTTTTCAATACTCTATCTCTAGTAAATAATTTGTAAGTAAGTAATCAAAGTTGTTTAAATCCATCCAACTCTCAGTGATAACCATATTATCAAAATCTTCAGTTTCCACAACTACTTTGAACCTGTCAATTCTATTTCTAATACTCCTAGCATTACAATAGTAACAATTAATCATAGATTTTAAAATACGTTTGTTTTATGCATGTTCTAAATGCTTTCCTGTCTACCTCTAGTTTAATAGCCCTCATTTAAGTGTAAGCCATCCATTCCAAATAGATTAACTTTCCCATTAAAATTATCCCACAAATCCATCCAGCCTATTTGCTCATCCCTACATATTGATTTAAGATCAGATCGTATTAGATGCATAATGAGAAGTATAAAATTAAAAAAACCTTTAATGGTAAAATATTTTATGTTAGTTCTAACTTTGCTTTTCATCATTTAACTTTGTTATTTTAGTTTTGGACAATAAATAATACAATTTGATGAATACAAAGTTAAATTTTTTACAATATATTAAAATATTTTCACACTTGGTTTAATCAATTAAAGATTCTTGATTATATGATCTATATCACAAGTTATCTTTCACATTTTATAACACATTTTTACAGCACAACTATGTGTTTTCTAAGTATTAACATTTTTAATTAAAGCACTATACATATGCATTTGTTTCAATTTCAAATACTTTATCTTAGTTATTTATCAATAAAAAGTTTTGACAAAACTTTTGGCACAATCATAATGTATTTATGACATATTTTTTTATTCCTTAGGTTTATTTGGATAATGGGAGTGTCCATGGCTTTTTCTACAAGATCCTTGTTACGTAAGTCTGTACCAAGATGGAAAATTTTCAAGAATATTTTGAAACGTTCCTGTATTTTGTTTGCTTTGGGGATAATTTTGAACACTTATGGGGGATGTAAGTATTATAAACATTAGTAGAATAATTTGTTTCTCTTGAACAAGTACAAAAAAAATTTACACAAGGTTGGAGTTTTGGAATAACTTTAAAATATTGTTCATTATTATGAGTTAGAAAGGTTTAGGTTGCTTTGTAAAGTACCAAAAAGAAATTACTGTTAAACGAAAAATATATATTTTTTATCCTATAATTTGCAGGATCATTTTTGCTAAAAGTAAATTTGTAATTTTTAGAACTGTTTCCACGAATTATAAAGTTAAGTTGAATGTGTTACAAGTGACTGAGAGTATTACTAAACTAAAATGTTTTTAATTGTACAAATACAAGAAAAACTGCACACACACACTAAATTGAAATTTCAAATAAAACTTTCATATACTGTTTGCATTAGCTTATATGAAAAGTTGTTTATGAAATAATGGCTTTTTGTTTTCAGATAATAATCTACAAAAAATCAGAATCCCAGGTGTCTTGCAGAGATTTGGAATATCTTACTTTGTTGTGTCTTCAGTTCATTTGCTTTTTACTAAGCCTAATGATATCCATCAGGTAAAACAATTATTCAAAGTTTATCAATTAAATTCTACAGCATATGATATTGGTTTGCTTGTTCTGAAGTTCAAGCTACACAATGGACTATCTATGCTTTGCTCACCATGGGTATTGAAATCCAATTTTTAGCACCAGAAGCATGCAGATTTACCACAGAGCTACTGAGGAGCTCTAAGGCACATGAACCCCAAGTTCACAATGTTAGTATAAATGAGAAACAACAACATTAAAATTGATGGAGTCATGATGGACAGGATAGAAAAGACTGAACTGATAGAATTTTCAGAAATTAATGGAAACATGCATTGTTTTTTGGTATGTTTTCTGATTTTTATCTAAGAGTGCTGATAACTAGTATGAAATATGAATTGTTTACCATTTCATACTGGAATACTTCAGTTTCGAATTTTTTTATATTGATACATACGTGGTAATTTAATGTAAACATCATCTTACTACTGTGGTATTCAGGTATGCTGATAAACAACAGGAAGCTAAAAGTTTCCACTAAAAATGCAGTTTCCAGAAATTATGTTGAGAATAAACTGAACGTGATCAACAACAACAAAAAAAATTCTAGTGAATAAATAAGCAAGATCTTTATTTACTATGGTTGTTATTTGAAGGGTATTTTGCATATTGGCTGGCTTAAATTATTTTGTTGTGATTGTAAATTTAACTGGCTGGTAGGTGAAAAATCCTTCCTAGGACACCAAGAATTATGACTAAGATTAAGAGGGAAAAAAAAAACAGACACCTAAACTTTTGTTGAAAACAATTTTTACAGTGGCACCAAAGTCTCAGTACAGTATTCCACAAAACATTAGGTTTAATATACATACTTCAACTGCTAATATCATCATCTCAAACTAGTTTGTACAAGTGTCTGTATAACCTGTTTGAATTGGGGAACTTTCTAGAAGCCCATACAGATGTGTACATGCTAGTTTGAGATTCAAGTTTAATATATAACCTTTACCTGCTTACAAGGATAAGCACATATTTATAACCTTTCAAAATTTATTTTATATGAATGTCATGATTACATGCAGAGCTGCGTGAAAGTTTAGAAAAATTATCTAAGTATAACTGAATAAGCATAAATTCTATACTAATTATGGACAGATGAAATTAGTAGCTATTTAAGCTATAACAGTATTTGTTGGTTGAGATTTTGATGGACTTCTTCTAGCATTTTTCTTTGCGCTGGGAAATATTTTAGGATCCATGCCAAGTCCTTCTTCAGATTCAACAATATTTTTATAATTTATGGAATAATAAACGTTTGTGAAGGAATATAACATGTTAGACATGCATTTTAACATTTTGTACGCAATTCTTTAGAAATTCATCCTAATGTTTTTTTTGACATATTACAAATGTAATCCAAAGACATCTGCATGTTCTTTGAATTAAGTGTTCTTAGAAACTACTTGTCAGAAATATTTTTAAGGATATTTTGTTTTTACTTGTCAATGTTACTTTGTATGTTATTTAGAAACCTTTAATCATTGTGTATTTTGAAATGCAAAATAAAATTATTTTAAACCATTTTTTTCTGTCAAGGCAACACATTATTGCATTTTACTGGTATCTTGCATATTCATGTAAACATTCATGTAATACACACAGAAAAAAATATGGGCCTCAGTTCGAGACATCCTGCCATATTGGTTGGAGTGGTTGATCATGTTTGGTATCTTGTTAACCCATATTCTGTTGACATTTTTGCTTGAAGTACCAGGATGTCCCAAGTAAGTATTTGTTCAGTCTTATTTGTTTTTGGTGCTACAAATGTGGCAGTATCTGTCCCCATTTATGTCATATTAGATGTTTTGTTGTTTAAACATTCTCTTGTTTTTAGAAAAGAATTATTCAGTATTTTTTAGAGTAAAATGCTTTTGTTATGTTTTCAAAGTTGGATCTTAAATAAAGATGTTATATTTTAGTTTTTGCAAATCTTTAAATGTTGGTGTAGTCATACATGAATTTTACTAGACAAAAAAGGATAATAAGAAAGTTCAAATATTGTAATACAGGTTCAACTTTAGTCTTGAAAAATAGTAAAGCAAGAATAACAGCCTTTCTTCAAGATTTGATTAGCCTGTTAAACTCCTTCAGTCACAGATAACTGTAATTATTATAACATCTAAACTGACCTCTCAGTGTATAGTTCTTATCTCACTTGATCATATTTTTATCACAATAAGTTTTATATTACCATAAACGAGCCAAGGTATGTAAGGCAGAGAATATTATGATTACAGTACATTGAAAGCTGTAAACATGCAATACTCTTGTGTTTCTAATCTAGAGGCTATCTCGGTCCTGGTGGTATTCATAATGGTGGTGATTATTTCAACTGTACAGGAGGGGCAGCAGGTTACATTGACAGGGTTATTTTGGGAGAAGCACATATCTATCAGCATCCTACCATAAAGGTGAATAATGAAATAAGATGTTTTTATGTATACATGGATATGTAAATCCATACTTAGTGTATTTTCTTTGTAGATACATACTGTGTTTAGTTTGAGAATGCAAATTTGTTTTGTAATAATGCACTTCTGTTACTTTTTTATGGAAATCAATTTGTTCGAGTGTAATTTGCTCAATTTATTGTTTTTGGAAATCTAATGAAGTCAGTTACGACAGCGGAAGTCACGAGATGCTGGGAGCATGTGTGCTGGAGTTTTTGGAAGGATCATGAATTTTCCTGGCAACTCTAGTTTGTTTGAGGCACCCTCTTTTTTAGTATATAAGCCTGGCGAGAAAATAGAGTGCAATTGCATAGATAGATAGATTGAAGATAGAGATAATTGAATCAAGTGAACAGTATGCACCATAAGTAAAGTGTGTGAATCACTGTGATTTATAGCATGTGTTATAAAGGTTGTTAAGTTTAAAGTGACTGTGGAAATTCTGTGTATTACAAAGTTGTATCAAGAAAGAATAAACTAGTTTTAGTTAAGAAAGGACTTATCGCTGAAGTTCCTCGGAAAGAATTTATACCGGAAATTAACAAACGAGCAGATACGTAACAGTCTGAAAATAACTTTTACGTTATGAAGATATTACAAATGTGTTAAGCTTTGGATTGTGTATTTTTTCAAACTTAGGTTTATATATTTTGGATTAATTATATTATTTTAAAGCTTGCATATTGCTCTATTATACTCATTTTCTTAAATAAGTTTGAATTTTCAAATAGGTCATATATCTCACAGAACTTCCTTATGACCCAGAAGGAATTTTAGGATTCTTGACATCTATTTTTTTGGTTTTCCTTGGTCTGCAAGTAAGTTTCTTTCTTAAGTCAAAATATATATTACCTTTATGATGTTGTTTTTGATAAATTCACATTGAGAGTTACCTTTTTCTGCATCTAAATTGAAATAATGCACATTTTTTCTGCCACAATGTGCATTATTTTCTACAGTTCCACCAAGAAAAAAAAGACAGAGTATTGTTCACTCATCATAATCTTAATTTCTGGTGGTTCTCTTGTGAAATGTCAAATTGTGCTTTTCTTTGCAACATTTAAATGAATAGAATACAATATGTCTAAATGTAGGTAAACAAAAGACTTTGGAAGAACTACAAACTGTGCAACTACTGATCATTATATACTTTTATAAACACAGATGTAAAAGAACTAATATGGTTGTAGGCCTTTTCCATGACAAAAATATTTTATTTTGCAACTTTTATCTAGGCATAACATGTAAGTCTAGGGGCCTATGATTAGTACTAACCTAATGCTCTTCATTCTCTTCAGTCTAGATTTAGACCTTGTAACATGTTGATTGACATTGGTTCTACAGCTATTATTTTTAAACTAATCTGGTAATGAAAGATGGAAAATTGCCTCCAGATATGAAGCAAGAGGAAAGTCACCCTCATTGTGGAAAGCTTCTCTACACAGCATGTGTATGTAATTGATACTGAGGTATGAGTATGTAGGGAATTGACTTCATGTGGAAACAGACGTCAGTTTAAATTTAACTCAAGCATTTTCTCAGTCTATAACCAGGAAATCCTTTTGTACTACAGTATGATTACAACACCATAGGTTGAACTTCTAGTTAGAACAAGGAGGTATTATATGACAAATTGAAGACAATCATTTTAAAGTGCAACAGAATAGAATCCAGAAAGATAAGTCATATAAGCAAAAGGTCATCCACTGTGATCACCTTTGATGGTACATCAACAGGAAAATAACCATCTGGATAGCTTCTGTTAGAACACTTCTAGAGTATCACCAGGGATGGAGCCACCAGTAGATTCCCTCGATTATCTACCCGAAGAAAATTTTCCCAATGACAAGAGATCATCACATCTTCATATCATATGCCATGGAAAAGAAAACCCCCAAAAAGATTTGTTGACTGGACAATTTAGGGAAAGTGAATAAAGAAGATTTTGTTTTATTAATCAAAATTTTCATTGCACTTTGTTTCACATATTTTTTTGGTGAGACATGGCATAGTAGTTATAATTCACTGGACAGTAGATACAAAGGTCCATATTTTGCATCGTAATGCTGCAAAAACAAAACAAAAAATGCTCCTCACTTTTTTTTGCAATATAAGAGTGATGGTGAAATCCAAGTATTTAATTTCTTTAACTTTAGAGTTATTGTGGGTGCTGTTGACTAGCTACCTTGTCTTTAACCAGTCATTTAAAAATTAGGGACAGCTACTGTAGATAGTCCTCGGAGACCTTTCCATAATATCTGAAACAAACCAAAACTAATGATTGTAATGTCTGTATTTATGATTATTAATTTTGTTAATTGTCAAAAGTTATTTTTAATTATGGAAGTTTATGTTTAGTTTGTTTTCTTTGTATAATAAGACTGTTCAAGGGAATTCACAGTCCATGGAAGAGCAGTGTCATAGGATCTGTTTTTTTTTACTTATGCATTTGGGTTGTTTAGCCAGAGGGAGGTTTGATGAAGTGTGACAGGAGTGGCTTAGTGACTACTACATTCTTGGAAGTTTAGGAAAAGACTTGAGAAGTATTAAATGTGAATTTTGTTGGAGTAGATGATGATTGGTTACTGGGTTAATATTTGTTAGCCAGTTTGTCAATTACTGTCAGGTGATTAATTTAGTTTTGTAAACAATGAGTTTGTGTTTCAATGAAATAGAGGTATAACAAAGTGCCATATGTATGAGAGAATGTAACAAATCTGTGAAATTGTGAACTTAGCCTATCAGTGAACCTTCATTAACTTATCTTGTGGAACTGGTAGTAAAAAAAATAACACTGTTTTCATTAAGTGGATTGGGCAATACATTCTTCTTTTTACTAAATAATCCAAAAAACATTGTACAAAAATATAAACTATTACAGCAATAGTTTCACTTTCTTTATGAAAGATGTATCTTATTTTTTTCCTGAGTGAATATTCTATTCTTGAGAAATGATTTTGGTAATTTCCATTAACTTCTTGAGCAAGTTCTTCCAATGTCTTTGTAAAGCCTTCAGTGATCCCATACGGATGAAAAAAAACTTTTGTTTTGTGTAGTTGGGGAACAGCTGAAGATGTCAAGATTACCAACTTTCAGCTGCTTGCTTAACAAAATATATAGTTATGCACAAATGTAACTGTAAGGTATATCAAATCATAAATATAAAGCAATAAATAATTTTATCTTTATAAATCATTAAGTTACCTTCTCAGTGTTGTATGGTTCAAGAAGATTCTATTTTTTTATATTTGAAATTGACTGTAGTAGAATGTATCTCAGTATGCTAGTGTATATATACACCTGGAAAAAAGTTAAGCACCCCCGTGTTTTTTTCAAGTGATTCAGATTCGACGTTCTTGTGACTGATTATAAATTACCATTCAATCTAAACGTGTTTATCA